GGTACTTTTCAACTTATGTCTCAGGGTGACGGGTGCACTGGTAATGTCCCTAAGATCTTTGCGATTTAAAGCTCTGAGCAGCACTGCAACTGTTATGGACAGGCGTGTCGTTTACGACCAGGACCAGACACAACTAGTTAGTCCCGGCACTTAGTATCATAAAAAATATTGTACATAATCAAAATCAGATAAAGATTTACTAAATAATGTATATGAAGGCAAATCTATGAGCGAAGGAGATAAGAACCTCTCTACAATATCTATCGTTCTAAATGACGCATATACGCGCTGAGTTTGTGGTTGATAATCAGATGAATATTTATTAGAAATTGAAACGCGACTTAATACGATCTTTATAACTGAAAGGCTACGCCGGCGTCCTCAAAACCTTGGCTAATCAACATTCGGTCTATAACAACACTTGAGCACGTTCTATCGATAACTACTCTAACTCTACATGCCTAATAGCCTTTGTGCTGATATCTTGTATCTGTAGGCGCGGGTCGAAGAACATAGTTATAAATTGCTACGTAGACGCTACGACACGTACTGTATTGTTTGTAGACAATTTGACATTTTGGATAAGGTGAAGGCTGTATATAAGTAAGGTTGACAAAATGTGCACTTTCTGCAGTAGATAGAGGTTACGTAAAATATTTAAATAAAAAAAGAAAAATAACAATGTACATGTATAGGTATAACAGCGTGTTCAAAACTCCGTCTTCTCTCTCACTTAGTTCATATAATGTAATTTTTCATTTCTCGTGATAAAACTAAGCTAAGATTTATTGATACTGGTAAAAAATAGGACACATGTAATTCCCAAATAATAGGTAATATTGCGATGTTTGTTATAAAATAGTTCTGTAATGTTTTATTATAATATCAAGTATAAATATGTATAACATCAGGACGAACAAGTCGTGCGCCTGATGGTAAGCGCATGTCCACAACAGTTGCAATGCCCCTCAGAGCTTTAAATCGCAAAGATCTGAGGTGTCTGCCACTGCGCCTACCATCCTGAGATCCTGAGACATAACGTCGGTGCCAACCAATTAGTGCGATTTATGGAAATCTATTGTTATGAGTCCGTAGACAATATAAATTAATGCTTACTTTGCAAAATTGAAAGTCGTAGCCATTGAAATAACGAAGTAATGACGTTGAATCATTGTCTTGTAAAATTTGATTTTGTGCAGATACGCGTCTTTTACCAATGCTACATACGCGGATTTTCGCTATCTCCGACGATAAGTACCATGTGCCTGTAATTTCACCAGCACCCTTACTCACATTACTGCTTGGCGTCAGAAATAGGTAAGGTGGCAGAACTTCCCTGGACGAACGAAAATGTATAGAATGATGACAAAGCAGCTACGGTCTCTTTGTCAATAGACAACAATAAAGACACATGAGACAGATACCTATAACATGTCTACGTTATACCCCTCTGATGTGGCAATGGTTCAGGCTATAATGGCGCAAAAGTGGTGTAAACACATTTTTTTTCTAGAACATTCCTTTAAATGATACTTATTGAAGTATGTAATTATTTTATATTTGGTGCCATTTTCGTATAGCATTCAAATATAAAATAATGATGTACTTATAGTATCATTTAAAATAATATTGTAGAAACAAACTGCATCAAGGTTGTAACGGTGGGAAAGTGGTGTACCACTTCCACGCCTCAATATGGGACAATCCGCACTTTTGGTGCATGTAATAAGGCCACATTTACAAAATTACAAGTTTTCAGGAGGCTTAAAGATATTTAAGAAATTTTTCCCGTTCTGAATCGATTCTATTGCGCCGGTCGAACGGCATCGACACTGGCTTCATTGCAAATTTTTGTTTTTATAAACGAATTCAAAACCATTTGAAAAATATATCGTAGACTGATTGATTAATTGATTCTATTTAGTTTAGTTGATATAAAACAATCATTATAAGTACCTATTTAATACTGCGGTTTTCTTGTAAAATTTCGAGATAAGTTTGTTTTTATTTCTACTGTCAAAACTTTTAGGAATCGTGTTTTCACTCGTATAGTGATCAGTGTATGTCCTCAATTTTACTATATATTTTTTTCAAAGTGATTGATGCAACACTTTCACTGTTATGCGGAATCAGCCAAATGCATTTGAGGTTCTATAGATTCTTAAATAGGAGAGTTATAAAATTTCACATATTTTTTTTAACGCAACACTCTCATCTCAGTCCCACACTAGGGAAACCATGTATCGCAGGTGCCATGGACACAGCCATAGACAACTACAGATTACACCCAAACTCACGAAAGAAATAAATGTAGACCATACAAATATTTCTACCGGCTCGGGAGCTGAGCCCGAGACCTCTGCGAGGCAGTCCAGTGTGGTAACCGTTCGGCCACGAAGGCAGTTGTATAATCAATGTAGTTGGCTTTACATTTATGACATTGATTGGTAAGTCAATGCTTTCATGTGATTTAAGCACTTTTGACGTGGTCACGTACGTCTTTTTATAAAGGATACGAATTATTGGATAGAATAAACGAAATTTAACAAAACATACGTACCTTTGTGTGTGCGCCAGGGTTGCGCGGGCGCGCGTGCGGCAGTGATCGGACGCGATACAACTAATTCGACATGAGAGTCATGCTTGCTGTCTGCCACAACTACAGACACCTCCTCCGCCGACCGGCCCTGCAGTGGTACACCGTTCCATTGGAGGACCTCGTCACCTGTTGCAACATTTAGAGTACACTAAGTGATAATAAGCGTATGATAAACTAATTTTAGCGTAAATAGATTCGTGAGAATTGATAATTTTCTTTTGTCTACCGAATATGGCGCTGTTTTAGGCTCAATTTATAAAGGAATGGAAAGGAATTAATATTATTTTTTGTAACGAAATTGTACATAGTTGTGTAACGCACGAGCTATTTTTTTATTTTAATTTTTTTTATAATTTAGGTATCGGGACGAACAAGGCGTGCGCCTGATGGTAAGCTACACGCCTATACATAACAGTTACAGTGCTACTCAGAGCTTTAAAACGCAACGATCTGAGGGGCACTGCCACTGCGCCCTTCATATTGAGACATAAGTTGACAAGTGCCATGTGCTTGTAATTTTACCAGCATCCTTACCCTTTAAAACCGGAACACGCGGCGTTCTTGACCTCAGTCCGCCATTTTCGCTTTGTACGCTATGGTCGTGTCTAATTATTTAGCGCAAAACCTCGAAAATCTTGAAAAGTGCCTTATTTTGTTACTTAGGAGTGCAAAAATGATAGTCGCACCTGTAATATTACAGTGTTGTTTCAAGTCATCGTTAAGTCTTATTTCATTTAAAAAAAAAATCTATTTTCTGGTTATCGTAATAGATTGTTTGGTTACAGAGTAAACCTTATACCGTCGCAATATGCTCGACTTTATTTTGCAGAACATCACTAGGCAGTAATGATATTGAACAAAATTTCAATTATAAAGTCAAACCGTCATAATAGATATTGATCTTAAACGATATGCCTACTGGGAAAAAATTAAATTATATTAACAGTCCAGAATTTACTTCGTGTTTTTTAATTAGAAACTACGACCAATCATTGTCAAGATTTCATTTTGTGTAACATAGCTTTAGGCATTTCTATTGTTTTTTCTTCCGTGGACGAAACGGTAGGTACCTGCGAGAAATCCAGAACTGGGCGAGTACTCTCCGGAAGACGCGCGACCTGTTTTGCTCGTATTTGATTTTATACGTTACATAATTGATCTACATAAAATTCGTTATACTATGGTCACAAACATTCCCTTTCATTCCCTTCCCCGGCAATATAAATGAGCCTTAATAATAATAATATTCCGTATGTCTGATGGTCTTGCTTGCACCTTTGGAGATGTTATTATTACCTTTTTTATATTAAATTATCACTTGAGTAAGTGACAATTATCTTCATTCGTTGAAATGAAAATTATTAATCTTAAAATACACAAAATATAATATTATCGTTTCCTAATAAAACCTCTTTATGTTACGAACACACTCGTGAGCCATGATTTCGTGACCGAGGTATATAATGACAATAATGCATGTTCTATTTATGGTACAAAAAAGCCTATCATAAAACAAAGGTTAGAACACGGTTGTTCGCGTTGATATCTTTTGTATACATTTAACTTCAATTAAAAAAACATTGTCATGAGCGAATTTGCTTACCAATTCTAAGTTGTCCTTCCAAGTCGGCTATAGATCCTTTCTTCACCTTTTCGACGATGGCGCCACGGGTACCGTCTGGGAGAAGCTTGCCACCCACAACCTTCAGACCGAGGATTGCAGCCGAAGAATGCGAACTTCCTTCCACCACGCTCTTGCGAAGAACCATATGCCCTATCATCCGCGTACCGTCTGCCGACACCTGCCAGCTCAGCGGGAACTGTTGCATAAAGTTACATGTAAAAATACAACCAGATAATAAAGAAGGTATATGTTATACTAGAACACACTATGAAAACCATTGAAGTAGAACGGCGATGGCATAGTGTGTGGCGAAAAACACGAAAGTGCACAAGTATCCACGCATGCCCGTCAATGCAATCATGCTGCAGCCAAACATAAACACGCTTCACCACAACCCTTTGTTACCTTTAGTATTTCCCATATTAAGTCCTTGTATTATCATTGAAGTGAAGACGAAACAACTATTAAAGTGATAAATTACGTAGAAATAGTATCTTTTATTGATTATTTCTTGCGCCTTAGTCTCAAGTATCAGTAGTAAAGGATGATGTGTACCTTAGGGCAGTCGCCCCTGTTCGAGTCTTCGCTGGAGGTAAACGTGCTAGAAGTGTCGATTCCCGAGTCTTTGGTTGCGGAGTCTTGACTGGTCTGCCGTTCGGATTCCCAGCGCAGCGAAGCCCAGTCGTGGGGAGCACCAGATGCGTCACGACCTCCCCGCGGGAATGTCGCGGCACCTTCGTGTCCGTCAAAACGTACTGTCTTTTTTCTTCTTTCAGTAAAACGTCTGTTGTCAGATGAATCTTCCCATAAATAGGCACTCTTGTATACGGCTCTGTCGGAGCGAGGTCCCTCGTCCGGCGGATAGGGCCGTAGATACGCCCCTTCCCCATCGTCTCGAGCTCGCCAACGACAATCGGTCACGGAATCAAAACTGCGCCCGCCGGTAGGCGCTCTTGCTGTGTCGAATGGACCGCAAACACTCGCGTCGAACGTGGCCGGTGAGTGGTTAGTCAAATTGTAATAATTGTTGGCAGCTACGCTGGCGCTGCGCAGGTGCGGGTGCCGGATGCCTGCACACGCCTCAAGTTGTCCTAAGGATGATACCGCACAAGTAAAGAATGGGGTGTCTACTCAGGATTCAAGTCCGTGTGTCAATAGACAATGTGCAGGCCCGGCGCGCGTGCCGTTACCGTACCGTGTATATGCGGAGTCTACATTTTCTTACTCCAGCACCGACTGTGCTAGCATCTCCCACTTTGAATCCATGTTTTAATGTAGTTAACTAAAACACTCTTAACCTCCACCTTGAAAGAAACGAAAGCGGTGTTCACGCGTAAGCGGAAAGATGTGTCAACGCATTAAACAGTAAACAACAATGATTAAATTACACGTTCACAAACTCTAACTCAATATTAAGAAATAAATTTAATACCTACCAGGTACACCTCTTTTCGCCCAAGCATGCGTAATTTCGTGTTTATACCAGAATGTTAAAGTTACTTGTCATAATTATCAAACCAACAAAGTCTATTTAAACAGTTGTGTTTTTACGTAATGCATTGTAATATTTCTGGTATAAACTACTATAAAAATTCAGAAGAACTTTTGCAATTTAGAAAAGCGTATAAAGTAGAAATAACTTAGCAAAGATAGAATAACTTGCGAGGTTTTAAGAATTATAAAAGTGCTTCTGATTTTGATTATTTACGAAAAAGAAGAGATTGATTATATAGTTCAACAGCCATCACAGTTGGTCGACCAGAGGAAGAAATAATGATAGTTTACATAAACGATAACGATCAACGAACAGTAACGAATACTGAGACATCTAGTTTAGCGATATATTACAACGCATGTAAACTTCGAATAACACGGTTCTCACCGATAAGAATTTTTTCATTTTCTCGTCTAAAATGGCCTGTCGCTGGCTTCTGGAGCTGTCGGAGCTGCTCCTATCTCTATTGCCTGCGAACAGTGGATGGCGGGGTGAGCGCGCGGCGCCGGCGCCGGGACACGGCCGCGACGACGGCGCGACGGCGGCGCGAGGGACGTCCGCGCGCCGGGCTAGCACATACCACACGGGTACCACTACAGTACATTGTTCTTATACACCTAACAATGCGCACATACTATTTATGTGTTCGAGCATTTAGCCGCTGTAAATACGACTGAGAACTTCTGCAATCGGACATAGTAAAATGTAACGGTGACAGACATTAATTAGGGAACATCTACATGAAGAGATATGATGGAAACGTATACAGATTAGTCATTAGTTTTATTCAGACAAGTTTAGGTGCTCTACACTATCCGTTTCTGTGAATAACATAGCGTAAATTAAACTTAAAATTAAAAATTACCTGAAATTGCTACTTTTATCAGTACTTAAATTAGAGAATACCTCGCACGGAACACCTTAACTTTATCGTTTGTTTGGTGCAACAGATGACTGTAACAGAGATGTAATGTAAGTATAATGTTAATATGTGCCATGTAATGTCTATTCGTTCCCTGCTCGTGTGGTGTGTTTAGTGTATGTGTGAGGCGATACAAACAAAATTAGCCTGGGTGGGAAGGATCGCTGATGATAGGTGGGATGGGGCAGCGGTAGCGCACAACATCAATTGTACTCACCACGGTCGCGGTACTCGTCGTTTTCGTCGGAGACACACTCTGGTACTTCGTCGTCCGAGGAGGAGGAGCGTGGCGGTAGCGGCGGGTGACCGGGCGGATGTGGTAGCAGTTGCGATACCGTTGGCGCTGGCGGTGCCGGCGACCCTTCATCCACACCGTAAGCTGCCTTTTGCCTAGGGTGTACTAAATGAGGATGAGTCCGCGCCAGGCCCTCCAGCTCCCCGTAACACCGCGCCTCCTGCTGACTGTACTGTCGGCGAAGAGCACTTCCTGATCTTTGCAGTGGTTGATTTTCCTTTTCGGCAGCACTATGAGCTCTCTCTAACTTTGGTCTTTTGTCAAGAGAAGGGTCCGATTGTGGTGGTAGACCACGCAAGTCCGATTCCATTTGCCACAACATAGAGTCCTGACCAGCGCTTTTATGTATCCATTGGCCAGTTTTAGACAACAGCTCTTGTTTTTTACGGCACAGAATGCACACCCATATGACCTGGAATAGCATGCGTGATGTAGTTTTTGTACGCGTTCTTAGTGTGATTGTGATGAATTGATGATAAAGTGAATGTAAAGTATGTTGACCTTGTTTGATCTAAGTGTGACCTTCCCACCGCAGCGGGCGCAGCATCGAACCCTGCAGTAGTGACAGGAGTGTCCGACACCGTCGGCGAACTTGGTCTTAAGGCAGATGTGACAGGTGGCCGCAAGCTCGACGCCTGCGGCGCGGTGCATCTCGTTACGTGTGCGGATCGTCTGCTCCAAAACTGCTACTTCGTCTTGCTTGCGTCTGGCAAGCAAGAATAAATACCATTTTAAGAGACCCTTTGAAGAAAATGGAGGAGCCTGACTTACAAAACACCCAAAAAAGAAAGACAGAGGTTATAAACCTTGCTATGAAATATTTTTATTTTTTTATTATTTTGCTTATATGAATTTTTATTGAATTGATATTCAATTATTACTACTCCATTACTCCACTAGTTTGTTATAATTATTAATACAAAGATTGAACACTCAGAAAAATCCGATCAGAGAGATCCGGCCGGATTTGAACCGACGTCTTCTAGCATACTTTACTATTTCTTTTACTCATATTTACTTTTCATATGTCCTAATTTGGAATCAACAATGCAGAAAAATCGCACCATGCAACTGTACCTACTGCGGTAACCTACTTATCTTTGAATGATAAGAGTGACCTATTTTCCGAATATTCTCCGACCGATGGTTTTGCGCTAAACCATAGATGAAATTAGTTTATCCTTCACGAAATTCAAGGTAAACACAGCTTTAGAGCATAACAATATATATTACATACCAAATAAATACTATAGTAGTATACTAAATGCAATTAATTTAAAAATGCTGTGAATGGAGAAAGAGCTGTGAAAAAACCAAGTCAAAAATTATCATCGTGGTTTAAATAAAAAAGTAGTCTCGGGCCTCAAGATAGTACGACAGTGGTGTTGATAACAATGATTTCACAGGATACAGTATCCCGTTATTCAGTGCTAAATTCTACAAATTTTATGATTGATATTCAGTGTTCAATAAAGTATAAGCTTTGTTGTTGCGAAGAAAATCTTACTTACTTGTAGATGAAGAGATAAACAAAGAGTCACTTATTTATTTAGGAAAATAGAAAGTTTAGGTGTGTTTATTTGTTACTCAAATTAGAATTATAAATTACTCCAGATGTATCTCGGGATTGTTCGATGTGTTTGTGACGTCTAAGTTTCTGTTCGTTAATACAGTAGCTATTGCAGATAATAATTCAATTATGGTCAAGTTACAACTTCATATTTCCTTTTTATGGAGCTATAACAATGTGTCAGGTCAGAGACAGTCGTAGAATAACGTCTCTTTGCATAGCCAACACGTCTATTGCTACTGCGTATTCTATGCGACAGATTTTCCCAAGCAATTGCGGTTTACTTACGATTCAATCAAAGAATAATTTTCTAAATAACTGAAAAACACAAACAACACGCATAAAACAGATGACTTGTCGTTTTCTGATTCGTCCGTATTGTAATAATCAAGATTATAGATCGCGCAGGAGGAACTGTATTTACGTCAATACTCTAAAGCACGATTTATATACACCTATTTTATCAATAGATAAAATACGATTAAACCAGGGAGCGTAGCACGGGATGGGGGATGCGATCACGACACTGTCACATATGGTGCATTTCGTTGCAAGATATTGTTGGGTAACGGCGAAGGCAGGATGTGGCGAGGCGGAGTGCGGGGGCGCGGGCGGGGTGGGGGCGCACCTCATGATCTCGTGCTCGCGCTGCTCCTCCTGCTTCTGGCGCATCATGACGCCCTCAATGATGGCGCGCTCTTCGGGCGTGAGGTGCGAGAGGTCCGGCATGTCGGCCATGGCGGGCGGCAGCCGAGCGCGACGGCGCCGCCAGCGGTGCGCGGGCCCGCCGCGTGCTGCGGTGCTGTGCCCGCGGCGCGACGCCAAGCGCGCCACTCAGCCCGGAGGTTTATTTAATAATGCCGGGCGGGCCAATCGCGCGCGCCCGTCCTCTGACGTCAGCAGGTTTATTGATTGCGTTCCGCGGCCGCCCGGCACCCGCCCGCCCTATCGCGCTGCCGCCACCGCCGCCGCCGCCACCGCTGCCACCATCGCCGTCGCGCATTGAGGGCACCACTGCCTCTGTGATGCGTGCGCATTTCTTGTGTTCGGACGTATTTTCAGACGTGGTCCTTACTGTTCCTGGCAATAGGTAACCCTACAATTAGGTGAACTTTCGAGAATATTTTTTATGAAGCAGTGAGACTTTTTTAGGTGTGATGGTTTGTTATACTGAAGGAGGCCTTCATGCAAATGGCTCCTAGAAAAAATAAAAATAGACAAGGGTTGACAAATAATATTAGGTACGGCCACAAAACATTTTAATTCTATACCTTAAGATAGGTAATATCATAAAACATAAGTATATGATGTAGGTATATTGTTTACTGTTTTTTTTGTTAATAATTAATTGTATATTAGTTATATATTACACACTTCCACCAATTGTCACGCGACTTCTTTTCAGCAACACGTTTATATTTCAATGGGTAATATATAATTTTAAAATTTTGCATTTATGAATTGTATTATAGAAACACGTTTTAGACCTTTAACACATTCACTGAGTTTCAAACGTTCATTCCTAATTATAGGTACACGAAATACTTAGTCGCAATAGTCAGTCGGGGGAGGTTTACATTCTGCAGGCAGGCTGTTCACGTGATCGTTGTGGAACAGAGACTTAATACCTTCTCCCCACGGGAATCGCTTGGTGCGCCTGCGCATGTACTCATATTCCCTGCACTCCTCTTTCTCCGGGATTTCATGGCCGAACGCACGGAACATTTGGGCAATGATTAACGGAACACATACCAAGAAGAAGATTAATTTGTACTTCGTCGATTCTATGTGAGTTGTGAAGGAAGGCCTGCAGGGATTGTATGCTACGGGTTTCGGACCACAATAAGGTGTTTCCAGTCGACCACGCGGGCTCGGCACTATACTAGGGCACGCACATGGGCCACCAGGCTTAGGCGAATAGCAATATGAATAATGTTTAGGCAAATTGATAAAAAGTGCAGGATGTAGATGTTTGATGCACACAATAGCCCGCTCCATAATTCAAATGTCTTTTTTAATTGAATGAGTACAACCTTATAGGAGGTTTTTATGGTGGGATGTGTCCTTTAGCGGTGTTGCAGTTTAGTTGTAGAAGCAGATCAGTTCTGCCTTCAGACTCTCTTATGATTTTTTCACTCTTCAATTTAGATATCAAAAATCATTTGACTCATATTACTTGTAATACCAAATATTTAGATTACTACTTTAGGTATAGATAATCCAAAAAACTTACAATTTTACTATATTTTTTGGAATAATTTTGGTACAAAACCTACTTATGGTACAAAACCTACAATTTTCCTCACATTTCGATCAGAATTCTTTTTTGAATGACAGTGGGAAAAAATATTAAAAAACAAAAGTTCTTTGTTGGCCAGGCTTATTTTTTTTGTTAAGGCTGGAACATCGGTATGTGTTAAGGCTAAACACCTTTATGACACTAATAACTATTAGAGAATGAAGATAGATAGACAAGCAATAGTTAACATAAATAGAGGCAAATGAATAACTCAACAAACTGAGAACACGACGAGAACATTATTTTAGTTTCAACGCCATCTAGTGAAGATTTCAATAATTTTTTCCTCTTCAACTCGGGAAAGAGGTAATATGTACACACACACGATGTGCACACCTTTTTGGTGTCACATAACTACTATATAAAATATGTTCATTAAATAATTCAAATTGCTGCTTTAAGTATTACGGAGCATATTGATAATAAACTTCACAGCGCTTTCGGTGCTACATTAAAAAAATGTTCAAGTCGACTTATGTACTTTCGTGGCATTAGATAAAAAAGCCACTTTTAAACTTAGTTTTAAATGTACTAGGTTTAAGAATGTCCGTTAAACCATTATGTGTATGTAAATAATACATACTTATAATGTTATTTGCTTCATTGTATTTTCTATGTGGCATTGAAGAGCTATTTAGCTTTTTATTCTGACAGAGCATAATTTTGTTCTTTGATAGAATCATTTTTACTCTGTGCTGTAGTTTGTCACTGTCTGTCACTTCTGTATATTTTTATTTACTATTGAGTTTTGCGCTGGATCGTACTTAAGTCAACGTAGTGCTTAAATTCTCTTTGCTTAAGTCTGTATTTTATTCTTAGAGGATGGTTCCATAGTCCTAGATTTTATTCTACGCCATTGAATTGTCACGTATAACCTTAGACTATGGAATTTTCCATCCTCTAAGCGTATAACGTTAAATCAATGTAAAATCGAAAAACACGATTTGTTTTCACAAAAACACAAAAATATTGTCTACAGTTTTGGAATTTAATTTTGGTATAATGTTTGTCTATACGTAACTCACGAATTGCGATTAGTAAGTAATCATAATATCATTAATAATTTATTTTAAGCAACATAGTTACATAGGTACTTCAAATACTATTTATATTTGTATTTTTGTATATAAATAAGATAATCTTTTTGCAGGATTAGCTGATATTAACTGATAGTTGACATATTTTATCATCGATTGTTGTTTCAAGAATAAAATTTTACGCGGCACCTGATTACGCGCACAGTCAATGCTGTTTTTCCGAGTTGTTAGTAAAAAAATCAGGTTATGTACGTATCGACTCTAGTATGTAAGTATTTAAATTTTAATACGATAGTGAAAACAGGTGACCTTGAGTCTATTGACCGGCCGGCTTGTACATTTGTTTGGTGTTTGTGAATGACCATTGTTGAAATTGGGAGTTCCATTAGTGGTTTCAAGGTTTAGTTCGGTTAATCGGTAGAGTGAGTCAGAATGTTTGCCGGCGGTAGGTAGGAATGATGTCATCGGTTCTCTGGATGTCAGGCACAGCAAAGGCGTTAGGCAGTCGCGATTTGATCTTCTTATCGACTAGTCACTTTACTCCTTCAAACAAATTTTATGAAGAAGAGTTGTTGTTCGTTTCAGTTTCCTTGTTTTCACTGATAGTCAGCTGTTCGGGAACCATGGATGATCAATCGTTCTCAAACTCAATCGCCACATTTTCGGCAAAATTCTGCAATGTAAGTTTCTTAAACTTATTTTTATTACACCCTCATGTTTTTAATTTTAGTATTCAAAATGAGTTTTTATATTATTATATATTATTATAGATTTTTGATATAAGTAAAGCAACAAGAAGTTATATAAATCTTATTATATCTAAATAAAGATGATATCTAACTTATCAAAACCATATCGTAATAATAGATGGCATCGCGCTACATATTATAATGTTTAAAACTAGATCTGTGACTTTTTTGTTATTAGGTCTAAGTATATTAATACGCTATAGTCCCAAACATTAAGGTGGAATTTTTTGAGCATCACCTTATGCTGGCCATTTTATGTATTGGTTTTGATTTTTCGTATTTAATTTTTACATAGAAACAACTTTTGCTGATACAAGGTTTAGGAGATATAGGAGTGATTAAAATGATGATTAATGGTATTAATAAGTCTATTTAATTAACCTATATTTTTTTGCAGGAATTAGATAAGACTAAAAGTGTAGTTTCGTCCCCTTTATCTGCGGAATACGTGCTCGCTTTGCTCGCTTTGGGCTCCATCGAACCAACGCACTCGGAGTTACTTACTGCTCTTGGTGTTCGCGATGATGATGAAGTGAGTTTAGACAATAGTCTATTTTAAGTTTTTGCGAATACTTCCTAGTGCCTGCACAAATCTTCCTACGCTCAATTTAATACACGATGGCTGAAAATTTGGTTACTATTGCACTACTCTCGTAAACATGTAATTTTTTGATAATTTTTTGTACGTGAATCAGTAGTTAGGATTCTCATGTGTTTGGATACGGTGATGTCATTTATTTGTAAAAAAAGAGTTACTAGTATGTAATTTTCATATTTTTTGAGAAAAAAATTAGGCACTCCCAAAATATTATTTGGAACCAAAAAAATATGGCAGGTTTTTGTAGTAAATTTTTACACAAATTAATTTAGTTTATATTTTATTATATATACTTTTTGAGTTTCTTCATTATTTCTTGCTTGTTAAGCTGATGGCTCTATGTATAGCCAATGCGCAATAAATAAATTTAATAAATTATAATAATGTTACTCGGGCCGATGACTGCATCAGCCAGGGCTGCTCATCTCTTGTTTTAATAGTTAGGGTAGTAAACGTACTTTTTTTTTTAAAGCCGACCTCAACACTGCGTATCCACTTTCGCTGTGTTCGTCGCCGCGGTCTCCTTACCTTCAATTGAAACGCAGATGGAAATTCAGAACATAGGGCGCTTTTCGAGCTATTCAGAACATTCCGAGTTAAACGTTCGATTCGGATTCGGATACGATATCGTTATCCAACAGCGTTTACGGAGTTAGTCGGTGAAACAAATTATAAGAAAAATGAAAATCCTTTTATATACATTTTTAAGACTTTAAAGGCTTAAAATAAAATATAATAGATTAGTCTGGCATTAAAATAAATTTATAAAACTGAACAAAATCCAGACTATTTAAAATAATAAGAGATTTACATTCTTGCTTTGTAAACAATAAGACATTCGGTAACTCACATTCGATGACTGGTTTCTGAATAACGTTTGTAGCCTTCGCCGGTCGAAAAGTTCGAGTGAACGTGTTTAAAAAATCGTCGTTTAAGTCGTCGTCGTCGATCGTGTTTAATTGAAAAATACGTGTTTTCAATTATTTTTTGTGGTAGTGGCCGTTGAAATTTTTTTATCTTGCCTAAGTGGGCAGTGAGTCAAAATGTTGGGAACCTATGCTATAGTCCATACTTACATACCAACAACGAAAGTGCACTAATGTTTGTTATTACTGTCATCCGAATATACAGGGTGGAAAATAGAGACGGGTTAGCAAGATCAGCTACCTTTAGGGCTACCATTTATTCGACATGAATTTCATCGCGCTCACCTCGCGCACGTCTAACTGTCATGACAAAATAAGCTCTATTGCTTTAGCTTTTACGTTTTAACTTAAATGAGCGTCCCGGGCACGCGGGCGAGCCTGACTTAGCATTATTATTATATTGTTGAAGCACACGGGTGTCTCTAACGATTTTGGTATATTAGCGTCCTAGAGCCACACGGCGCCTCAAACGCGCAGCTGTTTTTATCCACGACAAAAAATACTGTTATACATATATACGAGTACATTTGTTTTTTCCAACTCACCAACTTCACAGCTGAGTGATGAAACGTTGCCGTATTTGAAAAAACAAATTTACGCGATTTATAACCGAAAAAATTGTATCATTTCCTATGTGTAACAATCGCAAATACCTAAGAACCCGATATTTATAAGAAAATTATTATATTTTTTAATTAAAAAAAAAATGGTAGGTTTCTCGTAGATAGCGCTACGGCTAAAAAGTCGTTGAAAGCTAAATACAAAGATCCGACAACAAGCACATAAAAAATTCGTGAGGTTCGCTGGTTCGTTCCGTGGCTTAGTTGGTATAGAGTCTGCCACGGTTTGCTAGAAGACGTCTAGAAGGAATTTATTGAATGAATAATTATAACAAACTAGTGGAGTAATTTCACAAAAAATAATTGAATATCATTTCAATACTAATTTAATTATAAAAAGTAAACTATCGAAATTTAAAGGGATATTGTATATCTCTAGGACACTCGACGGATGAATACAAATATTGAACACAAATAAAAAATCCTTAGATCTGACAGGACTCTAACCTACGTAGAGGGTGATAGCTCTACCAACTGAGCTATAGATCGAGTCAGCAGACCTTACGAATTTTTCTATGCGTTTGTTACAGATCTTTGTTTTTGGATTTCACATTTGGTTTTAAAAATAAATTAGTATCATTGTAGTAAATCATCATAATATTCATTACAATCACTTTTCGTTTATTCCCAGTAGTTCCATGTACTCCACGTGGAACAATTGTAACCCAAAAGTTCCATACATGGAACTAGTGGAAATAAATATAATTTTTTTATCTTTATTCCCATTAGTTCCACACATAGAGAGATAGTTTACTGTATTTACAAAACGAACTTTGCTAGTTCAAGTAAGAAATTAAACGAAATGTTGAGCTTACTTCGTAATGTGTGTTACAGTTGTCAAGAATTGTTTCTCTGCGGCTATATCGGTAACGGGCGCTAGTCTTGCTGAGCCATGTCGAATTTCTGAATATTCATGAACTTTTTCCTTACAGGTTCGTTCATCATTCTGCGAAATTTCGTCCAAGATTAGATCAATTCAAGGTGTGACCCTGAATGTAGCCAACCGGGTGTACATTATGGAAGGTAGTTACGAACTGGATGATAATTTGCAGAAAGATGCCGTTAATGTTTTTGATGCTGGCATTGAAAAGGTTAACTTTGTTAATAGCCAGGCTGCTGCTTCCCTTATAAACAGCTGGGTAAGAATTTTTGGAGAATATTACAGGTACAGCCCGATTATTTAGAATCGATTTGTTATTGTCACATATTCGTAATTATAAAAATACTACAACTACAAATGAGGTTATCTTTTTTTACATATAAAAAAATAAGTGCGCATTTGACCTCCATCTCACCTGATGGAAAGTGACGATGAGGTCGAGGATGTAGCATGCACACCTGAATAATGCCTATTCACTCTCGCCTTGAAAAGGTCCCAGTTATAGCGTTCAGGGAACAAGTCTGCAGGCAGGGAATTCCACTCCCCAGCCGCTCGCCATACAAATGTGGAAGCGAAACGCTTCGTGCGAATCCGGGGAATATCCACAACACAGGGGTGGAACCCCAGCCCACGTCTAGTCCTCCGATGATGATATCTGCGCAAAAGTGGTGAACCTATACAGGGTGGAAATTTGTTATGCCACCTGGAGGGAAAGTACTCTAAATACTAGAGATAGAAATTTTTACTTAAAGGAAACATTCCTTTATTTTTTAAAAGAAATAAAATTGCATTCATAGATTTTCGAAAATTTCTAGCAACATGCGGGAATCGAACCTGCTTTAATCTGGAAAAAAGGCACCCTGCGCTTTTATTGCATCGATCGATAGGGTTAATTATAAGAATAAAATCTCTCTCACAAAATTGGTTAATTAAATGCAAAAAAAAACCATGAAATCTTGACGTATTTTAATAAAACGTGTTGCTCGAAATTTTCGAAAATCTATGAATGCAGTTTTATTTCTTTAAAAAAATAAAGGAATGTTTCCTTTAAGTAAAAATTTTTATCTCCAGTATTTAGAGTACTTTCCCTCCAGGTGGCATTACAAATTTCCACCCGGTCTTTTATTTTTTAAATATTTAATATATTATTTTTTTAATACACGTTAAAATATAATCCAAATATAAAATAATTATGTACTTTAGTATCATTTAAAGTAATACTGTGCAAAAGAAATTAAATGTAGGTTACGCCACTTTAGCGCTGATAGCCTCAAATGTAGTTTAAATTGTGTTATCATTAGTGGTCAGATAATTGGACGCGTATTCACGCCTACAATTCGATTGCTCGTTTACCTGGAACATTTTGTATCTAAAAAACTTGCAACAACGGAATTGACGAAATTTAGAAGTAAAAAATCGCAGGAAAAATAAAGGTTTAGAATGCTATTTGTTTGTGTATTTTATGTAACATTTAAATTAATGTTTATCTTTTATAGAAAGTGAAAAAATGTAAATACCTAATTTCGATCCGAAGAGAAAAAATTAGTTTAATTTTTTCCCAAAATTTCGTATAGTCAAGAGAGCACGTCAAGCTTGACATGTTGTACTTTGGACTGTTCTTATCGTAAGCGGCATAGAGTGGGATTTAAATCTTAAATGTCAAGCTTGAAGTGCTCTTGACGCTGTAGCATCGTTTAAGATTAAATTTGACATTTCTGCTATCCATAGCAGGTACTGAGACCCCGTTGTCATATTCCTGGTTGTCATCAATCCTTTAAGATCTATAATGAGCCAAAGTCTTATACATTTATATTATAAAAATTGTAATATGTCACGTCATTTCCGCATTTCAAAAACGGAAAATATTTTTTTTTGAAAAGCCGCTTCCATATTTCGAAGTTGAGGTATAGTAGAAGCATCCAAATTAACGACCACCATGTGTAGTTCATTGAAAACAACAGCGTTTATCGTAAAATTAAATATTAGAATATGATCATATCCCATTTCGTTATATGGATCTCATAAAACCATCTACGGGCTTTACAGTGCGATTTCGAAGTGCTTACGTTTGTAGTTGCCTCCTATTGCTTCTCCATTGAGAAGTATCAATAACGTACTGACAATATTCAATGATTTACATTAAACATTTTACATTGAATCGATATAAGCACAAAAGTACTGAAATATAATAATATTTAAGTACTGTCCATGATCCATGAAAGGTTTACTGTTTTTTAGCACAAAATTTCGTCATTTTGTGCACGTTCACAGTATTTATTTTTGATGTTTTCACAGGTTGAAAACAAAACCAATAATCGTATCAAGAACCTTCTTACTCCGGATTCTTTCGACGAAAACACACGGATGGTTCTCGTCAACGCTCTCTATTTCAAGGTAAACCTATATTTAAAACCTGTTAGTATTTTGTTTATACAAATTTTTTAATCCATTTTAACCGTTATTGAACATTCCAGAAATTTGTTCTGAACGTTTGGATCAATTATAAAAGATATTTGTCGGTATAAGTTGTTATTAAATGAGTTAGAAGAATTTTATTTTTAATACAAATTTCGTCGACAAGTAAGCGCGTACATTTTGATGCCGTAGGAGGTTAAAAAGAAAATACAACTTTTTAACGTCGTCTGTGCTTCAATAAATCGTCGTCGATAAAAACACAATATAGTATTGGCGCCATGTCCTTGGGCCATCAGATGGTGTTTGATTACCTTGTGGGTGGTGATCATCTTGTTTTAGTCTAGACTACGGAAAATTGGTTGGCTAACTATAGTTAATAGCTTAAATCACTTCGTAGAGGTATTTAAATAGTTTTTCTTTAACTGCCTCCGTGGCCGAACGATTACCATACTTAACTGCCACGCAGAGGTCCCGGGTTCGATTCCCGGGCGGAGAGAAATATTTGTATAGCCTGCGTTTACTTCTCTTGGGCGTAATTTGTGGTTGTCTATGTGTGTGTCCATGGCACCAGCGATATAGGGTTTCCCAAGTGCGGGGCGATGAGTGTGTGGGTTATTACATTGCTGATTTAAACTGCCAACTGAATGAAGAACTTCGATCTTCAGTATTTTAAAATTCTGCAATTGAGCTTAATTGCATCAACTCTGAGTAGTGTTTGTTGCTTTCGCATATACCTCATAATATTATATATATACACAGTGTTAAATAATTACGTACCTATATATGCTTTTAGAACTACTTATTTAGTTCGTTATAATCACTATAAGATAAATACAGTCTGTCTGTGTGTCGTTTTTCGAAGAATTTAAACAAACAAACAAACAAGTTGATGAAATATATATACCACCTGTTTATAACAATACTACTTACAGTGATTTAAACCTCTTCAATGTTATCTTTTGTAACTTTGATAACTATTCCAGGCCACTTCACTATTAAAATAAGAAAGAATGGGTGGCAATGTCGCCGTATTCTTAACTTCATTTCTTTCTAAGTGCACAATTTGTACAAAATTATAATTAATTAATTAATTCATTTATAACGCGTACACACACACACACACACACACACACACGCACACGCACACGCGTACGCACACGCACACGCACACGCGCGCGCGCGCACACACACACACACACACACACACACACACACACACACACACACAC